AAGGATATTGACCAAAAGGCATCTGTGTGATGATGCATTGCCAAAATTCCATTGAACACATTTGGGATTTTTATAAAAAATGCTTTTTCTTTCAAAGCCCCCCTTCTTCACACAATTTCAACGGTTTAGAATAGAAGATCCATACATTAGGTGTGGCAGCAGATGGGTCTATCTCATTGTGTATTACCGACACCGGATATTGCTACCATCGAAGTGAAGGGTGCTTTATAAGTGAAAGGGAGAGAGGTATGAATTTATTTTATTTCACAAAGACCTCGTTCCTTTAGATGTTCTACAAATATTTCTAACATTAATAAGACACTTCACTTTTAGATGTTGTTCATATCAGAGGGTTAGGCAACGTCATTTTATTTAGACTAATCAAAACATGTTACCTGGAGAAAATTCTAAATGAGAGAGTTTGCAGGCTGCTTTATCCATTTCTTTCAAATAATTAAGTAATGTAAATAAAAATATATACAATGAAAAAGAAAAAAATATTTAAAAAAAAAAAAGAACGCAGAAAAATTTCCAGACTAAAAAATCCTAATTTGATGGGGGTGGGGGATAGATTACAACTTCTTTCCGTACCAGTTTTTATAATCAAACACAAAATTACCCTTATTTGCAACACAAAGTGTTTGGGTGCAATCGGAATTTTTAATGAACATTTTTATCATAAAAACTTAAAAGAAAGGAGTATGGGCATTTTCCCTGATTCTACGAACCTGATTGGAAAACATTTTGAATGATCAGCATATGAAATTTCACCACTTCTATTTTTGTAAATATTCAAAGTGGTCATCCATCAACAAAATAATGATTCTATGTATTTATAAATCATTTCAGCAATGGATGAATCCCTAGATATATCTGCAATTGAAGAAGATACTTTTCAGTTATATTAGTTTCAGAGTTGTTGTAAAATGTGCTTTATAAATAATAATTAATTTCATTACAACGTGTATTGGTAACAATCCTCTGTTAAAACTAATGTCCAAATAACTGTATCTTACTTCTACTCTCAATGACCGTGTAGTGTAGGACAGCGCCGCGAGAATTCCATCGGCATCGAAAGCAAGTGTTTTGTCCCGAAGTGAAGAGATATTGGTGTAGAAAGCACAAAGAAATTCACTTTTACGTGGATATATACATATATATATGTACCACTTACGATAAGAGTTATTTTAATAAGCATGTGAAACGCAATCAGCGACCAAAACAAGTACACCTGAGCAAAGGAAAAACACGCATATAGATAAAATGCAGATTTGTGAATATCGTGGTAGACGTTTTAGTATCAAATTTGGACTTTCTTTGCACAGGAAAAAGAAACACACATTAGAATTCAAACATGTATGTAACATTTGTAGCAGAGGTTATAACCAATCTATTCAGTTCAGATTCCATGTATCTAACCATGTCGATGTTGCACTAGAAATGTGCGAAGCAGAGCTGAAAGCACCATGATCTCTAGCGCGACACTTAGAAACCTGTAGCGGCAAAACTCTAAGCAATAGCATCTTCAGTTGTGAAGTTTGTGGAGCCTCCTTCACGAGGAAATACAAATTGCAGGAACACACTAGAGGCAAGCACGAAAGGACCCTTAGATACTTCTGCTCTTGTGGAAAGCGATCTAATTGGCGCTCCTCATTTAAAAGCCCACCAGACGTCGTGCCCTCTTAAGGCTTAACTAACTTAAAGGCATAGAATAAGATGTCAAGGATCCCTAACCTGTTTTTTCCTCTTTGTTTTTAGCTCTACTGGTCAGAGACCAGAAGAGCTTATGCGATAGTAATGCGTCCGGCGTCCGTCCGTCTGTCCGTCTGTCTGTCTGTCCGTCTGTCTGTAAACAATTTTCAAAATGCTACTCCTCCTACAGTTTTGGTCTAATTTCAATATAACTTGGCACACAAGTAGACTACACTAAGATACATAATTCTGTGTATCGGTTTTTGATTTCGATGAACGGTGTTGCCGTGGTTACTAAAAATAGAAATTTCTGTGAAATTCTTTCAAAATGCTACTCCTCCTACAATTTTGGTCTGATTTCAATATTACTTGGCACACAAGTAGACTACACTAAGATACATAATTCTGTGTATCGGTTTTTGATTTGGATGAACGGTGTTGCCGTGGTTACTAAAAATAGAAATTTCTGTGAAATTCTTTCAAAATGCTACTCCTCCTACAGTTTTGATCTGATTTCAGTATAAGTTGGCAAACAAGTAGAATACACTAAGATACATAATTCTGTTTATCGGTTTTTGATTTCGATGAACAGTGTTGCCGTGGTTACTAAAAATAGAAATTTCTGTGAAATTCTTTCAAAATGCTACTCCTCCTACAGTTTTGGTCTGATTTCAGTATAATTTGGCACAAAAGTAGAATACACTAAGTTACATAATTCTGTTTATCGGTTTTCGATTTGGATGAACGGTGTTGCCGTGGTTACTAAAAATAGAAATTTCTGTAAAATTGTTTCAAAATGCTACTCCTCCTACAGTTTTGGTCTGATTTCAGTATAACTTGGCACACAAGTAGACTACACTAAGATACATAATTCTGTGCATTGGTTTTTGATTTGGTTGAAGGGTGTTGCCGTGGTTACTAAAAATAGAAATTTCTGTGAAATTCTTTCAAAATGCTACTCCTCCTACAGTTTTGGTCTGATTTCAGTATAACTTGGCAAACAAGTAGAATACACTAAGATACATAATTCTGTTTATCGGTTTTTGATTTCGATGAATGGTTTTGTCGTGGTTACTAAAAATAGAAATATCTGTAAAATTGTTTCAAAATGCTACTCCTCCTACAGTTTTGTCTGATTTCAGTATTACTTGGCACACAAGTAGAATACACTAAGATACATAATTCTGTGTATTGAATTTTAATTTTGATGAACGGTGTTCAGTGGTTACTAAAAATAGAAATGTCTGTAAAATTGTTTCAAAATGCTACTCCTCCTACAGTTTCGGTCTGATTTCAGTATAACTTGGCACACAAGTAGACTACACTAAGAACATAAAGAGACTTTATCAACGATCATTATACTATTTAATGCTGTTTATAAAGTTTCAAATCCCAGCTGCTTAAGCACTTTCTCTTCCTTTGCTATAAGTTCAAACCAGTAGAGCTTCAGTCTCGACAGAGACTTCTGGTTTTTTAAGTCATTGTATAAGAATTTCAACTTTCCATAATCATTTTTTTTTCTTATTTTTGTTTTAAACTGTGATAACCTTAACTGTCAGGTAACGTTAAGATAATACTCACATTACGATGAAAATTTAATTTTGCAATAATATGGAAATCCGTTTTTGATGTTGTTGAATTTTTTAATTTGTTTTATTTTTCATAAAATAATTTACAAATGTATATTCTGTATTCATTTTTCTGTGTAAAGAAATGCTTATATTGCTCAAGTTTTAATCTTGTTCTATGCTAAGTCTCTTGTGTGACAATATCTTGCTTTGGTCGTATTTGTGACGTTGTCGTACTGGCGCAACTCCTTGTAGTGCTGCTTCTGGATTGGGGATCAATGCTAATTTTCTCTTTGCTGTTCTTTTCGCCTTCGTCTTGGAATCAAAGACATGGTCTCTATTGTATAATTTTAAAATAACAAAATGAACTGGATTATTTTAAAAAAAAAAAAAAATAATTTTGAAGATTACATTATAAGGAAGCTTTGTAAATTTAATATATGTAAATTCTAAACCAAAAAAAAAACAAAAAACTCCTTCATATATTTTTTTGGAAAATTAAGAACTACCTAGGAATAATCTCAGTCACAAAAATTAGGTAATTCAATGACTGGGTACATTTCATATCTCATTCAGATAGAAGTTCTTTCACTGAATACACTTTTGCTCTTGAGAGTGACATATGAAACGGTCTGTCCGGCATGAGTCTTGTTTTATTCATATGAATAAAACGCAGTCTCCAGCACAAAAAGGATTTCTTTGGCTTTAACAACACCTGACCGTTTTGGATCCAAATCTTGAAATTCACCGAAAAAAAATCTCCGCTTCCAGACTTCCCAAAGATCTTACATTAGATGCCCCAGATTTAATGTAAGGGAAAACCTGAATCCTCCTTTCTATGTTTGTGAGAAATCCTTGAAACATCACATTTGGAACACCCTTAAACAATAAAAGAGAAAACTCAAGCATAAGGTATTGTTCAAATACAATTAATTAAAACTGTAAATTTTTGCGCTTCAATAAAGACATTTCATTTTTTTTCTCTAAAATAAAAAAAAGTCTTTTGTATCAATTACTCGGCCTATTTGGGGGGGGCTAATTTTTAATCGGGTACTTGGGTTTTGGTTTGAATATGTACATGTACCTTATTTATAAGTTTTAAAAAAAAAACTTTTTACTTATCGATGAGGGTGCATATATGTATATAATTATAAACCAAGACCCTAGTACCTGTGAATTTTTCCTCTCCCCCAACCCCCCAAAATCAATTTATTTGTAAATCTACAATGTACAACCACAATATATTTAATATTCTGCTGTAAATGATACTATGTATAAATTCAATTTTCCGCGAAAAAACAAATCTACCTCATTCTGAAGTATGTTCTGGTATTTTAACGAATTAGTGAATTGGTTACCATGGAAACTATGGCATTTATAATGAAAAAATTAGGAATTTTTACTTAGCAGAAATTGTATCACTTTATTTATATTAAAAAAAAAATTTTAAAAATCACAGAATAAAATTTTTCAATGTATCATTATCTGTACCAATAAAAGTACAATGTGTATTATACTAGCTGTTCATATATCAGAAGAAACTTTAAAGAAAAGTAAAAAATAGTGCACAGAGGACACCATTTTTGATGCCTTGTTGTGCATTATTGTGCATTACTACAGGTGCAAATGGATTTTCATTAGATATATTTAGGCCAATTATTCGAGATTTTGCAGATTGGACAGATTTGACACACACTAGCCGTACTTTCTTCTTTTCGGTGCACGACTTATCTTAACACACTGGCAGGTATGTATAAATTTCAGGTCAGACAATGTAACTGGTTAGAACTGACAGATATCATTTGAATTTAAGTCTGTATGTATTATATTCCAAAGGTGAGTGAATTTGATCTTTATTTATTATTTTGCATTTTTAAGGGGGAAAGTTTTGCCCTCTGAAAAATAATATGCTGTCTTAAAGAATTGAGATTGAATTATACATTTAATTACATGTACAAGCATGTAGAAATTCATAATGTAGGACAATTATGACTGAAGATACGATCTTTATAAAGAAACGTAGTGACATGTGGGTTTGTTTTTTCTTTATAAATATTTCTGCTTTAAAATCGATAAAGAAACAACGTTAGTCGATCAAAAGTGGGAACATGCCCTTTAACATTTTATTTTTCCAAATCATTTAGATTTAGATTATAAGCATCATTTTAATGACGGTGTCCAAGATTTAAATGTTCAATGATTCTTCTATTACGGGGGTGTTATTTAAAATTTGGAAAACAATGAAGTAAAATATTTGTCTAGATCGAAGTCAAACAAAGGTTTACAAGCGTGATCCAAGATATATTCATGCTATATTATTAAAAAAAATATCACCTTGTCATTCAGTACAATATTTGCTTTAAGTGAATGACAAAATTCCTCAAAATCTGTTTTGTAAACTATTACAGTTATGTATGAAAAATATTTAAAATTTTAGTAACATTCATGATTTCTAAACCAGTTTCTAAAACCTTTTTAATGCTTCCATGACAAAATATGATTGATCTTTTAATTATTTTGATTAATCATGCACTGATGTCCATACGAAGAATTTCTTTATTATATGCAATTATTTATATTAAATTTGACTTCATTTTGTGTTGAGCCTACCCCAAGAAACATGAATTGATCATGCCGAAGTCCTAGCTAGTATAAACATAACTAGAGGATGATTCCTTATCGGACTAATCATGGCTTGAAGTTTTTCGTAAGATTTAACTCATACGTATAATAGATATGTTTCTATGTTAAATGTCAGGGGCCTTTATTTATGAGGGTCGTTAAACAGTTTTGTCCTTCTCAGTCCTCCAATAAAAAAAATATAACTTCAATCACTTGTACCAACTCATTGAATTCCTTATCGACCACACCGTCCATAGGATTTTGAAGATTTGTGAAATTTTGAAAGTACCCTACACTTGATTCTACTTTGTATCATCACAGGGAAACAAGTAAATAAACGGCAGAAATAAGAAGCCAATTTAAAGCCTCTCCTTAATCTAAAAGAAGTAGGCATATATATATATATATATATATATATATATATATATATATATATATATATATATATATATATATATATATATATATATATATATATATATATATATATATATATATATATATGGATAACAACAGCTGTAATATGGAACAGACCACACCGTCCCTGCAGAAAAAGTAATCAAAGATTTTGAAGATTCCATGATAAATTTTGTAAACCAAATACCACATATTTTTTTTAGTGAGTTATGCATGCCAAGATCAATATCCATGCAAATTTAGTTTACTTAGGACTCAATAATACTTGCGAATCAGATAGAACATTCTATGGTTGTAATGATATTGTCCTATGGACCCAGTTTAGCGATAGCATTCGAAAAATACATTTTTTTTCTGCGACAATAAACGAAATTCACCTCAAAAGGACAAAACCTTCATAATTTGAAAATTTTAACAAGTATTTTCAATGAAATGTGACGATAAGCTCAAAAAGATTCTGAAAGAATATAAATTTTGAGCACCTCTGAAATTAGGAGACATGGAGAAGTAAGAATCCCCTCTCGACCGCCATATCCGCCTTGTGCTCTTTTTCGTGATCGTATAAACGAGAAAATCCGTAGTCAATTCATTATCGAAACTATTTTTAAAACAATTTGTATGAGAGACGTCAGTCAACATCAATCAAAATCATATCCCATGACAGAATGTATTTGCAAACAAGGTCATACTATTAACCATGGAATTTGCAAAGTGTTGACTTAAAACGATATTGTAGACACACCTTTAATTAAACTACAAATTCAACTTGTTTTTTCCACAAAACTGCATTTTAAGAATTGTTGGTACGAAAAATAAGTAATTGAAACAAATCTGAAACCAAAGATTTCGTAGAACTCGCGCGGAAACGAACGTGTGAAAACAGACAGATTTTATTAATTAAGACCTTGACCTTTTGACATCAAAATCTCTAGGGTTCTTTTTATGCCATGGAGAGTTGCTATGCAAAATTTCATTGCAAAAGCTCAAAGGGTTCTTGAGATATTGCGCGGAAACGACAGACAGAAATACAGCTAGATGGACGGAAAGACGGACCCAAATTAAAATCTCCCATTTTCAGTGATAGCAGGGAACAAAATGAGACCTGCACTAAAAGTTTAAACTAAAAACTGTACTTTCAAACTCAAAAAAGGATAAGGAAAGACCCCTTTTTGGCCCCTGGTATCTACCAAAATTATATATTTCATACACTAGTATCACATGCATCTTGTGTGTAAAAATCTTAAATAGGTAAGCTTGTACTCTATGTTTTCCGAAGAAAAAAGTATATCAAATATGATGAAATTCCACCAGAATTGAGAAAATTCTGGAAAACGTCCTATTTCTGCACCCTCCTGTGGCCTCCATGTATGCTTTGAATTAAAATTAGTGCTGGTTTTAAACCATGCATCAATTTAAGTTCTTATCTACAAACTATCACAGTTTTAACTATGATTTTTAAGGAGCCAGATTCAGCGGTTAATACTTTGTCCTTTTCTCCAATTTTAAACAGGGGATAAAGTAATGTTACTTGCAAATACATTACAGGGAAAATATCTATGCATCGTTAGAAATATATTTATTGATATTTTTTTATTAAAAAGGGGATTGTTTGGAAAAAAAATGAAATTTAATTTTGAATGATTACATTTTTTTTAATTACAGTATGGCCGTGTATTCTCTTGCTCAAGTTGCAAATGCTCGTTGTGATAAGTGTGGATCTGTTGACAGCATTCTTAGTCCCTGTGAAGTATGCAAGTGTGAACTATGTTTTGACTGTAAGGAAGAGAAGAATCATCATCACAATCTACCAGAAGTCGTGTCCATACCGGAAGAAGTGACGAATGGTTTAAAAACAAAAACGCTTCCTTGTTCTTTGGAAGGCACTGTGTATTCCTTATGCGTTACTCACGCTTCAAAAGAACCTTATTTATGGTTATATACCTACCAGAATTTGTGTAAAATGAATATACAGGGACATAAAATAATTACATTTGATATCGATTGTAGCGATATGTCCAAATATGCTAGGAGCATTGATGCCATGACCAACGGGAAAGTATTGCTTTCTTTAAAAGAAAGCATTTTATGTGTAAACAAAAAAAATTCATTGTCTACTTTTATTGATTTTAAAATACATAACGCAAATGTGTATGGAATCCACATAGCAGGTGATAATAGTGTGTTGGTGTGTCTTCAAGGTGGAAAGATTGGTATTGCATATCTATCTAAAAAAGGGAAATTCTTGAAGTTTATATCCACTGAAGAAGAGGTTCCGTTAAGGATACAAGAACTTTCAGATCGTACATTGTTAATCCTATCTAGCAGATCCCTGAAGTTTTATTGGCAAACTTCTTTTCGATTTAGTGAAAATGTGCTAGATTGGAAAAGTGGAAGAGGAATAGATATGTGTTTAACCAAACATGAGAGAATCTTGATTGGAATTGAACAAAGCAATGAAATTCTAGTGTTAACACAAAGCGGTAGCATTGAAAATGAAGTGAGATTAGGAGAAACTTCTTTTGAGAGTGAAATTCAGTGTATGTACATTGACGCTGCCGATAGACTTTGGGCATATGTCTGTTCAGGGGAAATAGTTGTGATAGAAGAGGTCTCAAAATTAATACGAGAACACCCTAGAATTTTGGAATCCACCCAGCTTTGAAAAAGTGAAACCCGTATAATTTCTTTAGATTTATAGCCCCGCTTGAAAGCAGGGGGTATACATTGTGACCGGGATATCCGTCCGTCTACGTTCATCTGTCTTTCTGTTACGCTCTGGGGTACCCTTCTCTTATCCGCAACTTCTCTTATACTACTAATTGAAAATTTATGAAACTCTCACGGGGTCTTCGTTACATACAGTGTATTGTTATTGTGCACCTTCTATGTTACTTTTTGATCGGACACATATTTTGGGTTTCCCATGGCAAAACATGGACTGTGTCATTCTTTTTTTTAGTATTGAAGGGTATCCACCTCTTATCCGCAACTCCTCCTACATCACTGAATAAAATTTTATAGATTCTTTATAATAACATAATGCTGTTGTGTACCTCCTATTTTACTTTCTGATCTTACACATTTCTTATAATAATAATTATCCCAGTATAATCATACGGGAGACGGAGGTTTCATTTTTGATATCTTTGACAGCTGCTTTTTTCAATCAAAATGGAACTCGTAAAACTTACCTTTTCATTGGTCATTTGCAAAATTATTTTGTTAAAAACATTCCAATTGTACACACAAGTATTCTGAAATTGACATCACAAAGATGCTTGAGTTTCTGTTGACAATATCAATGTTGTTTTTGGAGCCCAGGTCTTAAAACAATCTACTAGTATTGGAATTCTCATGGGTACCAAACGCGCCCTGTTATTAGCAGACTTTTTTGTATTCATACGAAGCAGAATTTTTATCCAAAATATTGTACGTGAAAAGAGGAAAACACTTGCTGTGGCCTTCAACTTTAGATATATCGACGACGTATTGTCAACTAACAATGATAATTTCCAATCTTATTTCGATACGATTAGCTTGAGATAAAAGATACCACAGAATCTGACACATCTGTCTCATATTTGGATTGTTTACTTTAAAAAGACGTTAATAGTAATCTAATAACCAAGCTTTATGATAAATGTGCTGACTTAAAATGTTCAATCGTCAACTTCTCTTACTTTTGCAGCAATATACCTTCATCGCCTACATACAGGGTTTGTATCTCTCAGATGTTCGCAACGCCAGAGCTTGTGCTACGAACGAACAATTTCTAAAACGAGGTTAACTATTGACAAACAAGTTGATTAAACAAGAATATCAGCAATCTCGTTTAAAGTTACATTTCGTAAGTTCTATGGTCGATACAATGACCGTGTCAGGAAATACAATTTATCATTGAGTAAAATGCTGACTGACGTCCTTTATACTAATTGTTATGCCATTATTTGCACACTGAATTGTCGATGGATTTATCCGTTATTTCCCGATCATGAGAAAGATCGAGTACACGGTGGGTGTGACCGGTCAGCAGGGGATGCTTACCCTTTCATAGCACCTGATTCCACCTCTGATGTTTATGAGGTCCGTTTTTGCTCTATAAATGAGGTCAGTGTTTGCTTTGCTGTCTAATTCTGAATTGTTTAGTGGATTTCAGAGCTTGAATACTGTTACAAGTGTTCGTTATCTCCATACATTTCATTGTAAATAATGAAAGGTTTTGACAGTTTAAAGATAATATTAAAGCCGCTTAGTCCGATTTTAATCGCGAAAAAAATATATTCTTCTTGAAAAATAATTGTCCATAAATTGTTTCAACTTTTGTCAAATTATATCCCCAAAGTCTTTTTCTTTTAAAAGATACCAAAATTCAAAAGTTAAAAAAATAGTTTTTGTTGGGTCACACAAAAAATAATCCTATGACGATATCGCTATTTGCAATTGCGTGAAATCACCTTATCACTTATATCTCATTCTGAAGAACAGACCCGAGCATTTCTTTTTTCACAACAAAATACTTGTACCTGTACACGAACAATTTTTTAGCCTTCGTTACTATACTTCCTTTAAAAAAAATCTTTAAAAATACAATGTATCTGATTTTCTTTTATTCGTTTAAATAATGTGCATATCATTATAAAAATTACTGTGAATTATATCCAATTAATTTCATATTTTTTAAAAGATATGTTATGACTTAGGCTTCTAAGTACTTATGAAAAAAAAATACTCGGGTTTGTTCTTCATAATTTAGATATAACCGATAAATTTATTTTTTTCGAAGGGGACTTCACGAAATTATCTTAACTTCCCGTCAGGAACTTCAGTTTGTCAATAAGGTTTTTGATGTATGTTTTAGTTGTAAGGATTGTCGTAATAAACTATTAATCAATCTTATAATTTATTTTTATACATTTTTTATGAAGGATATGGAGATAACGAACAGTATTCAATCTCAAAGTCCATTAAACAATACAAAATAAGAGCAGAGCAAACACGGACCCCCGAAACATCAGAGGTGGGATCAGGTGCCATGGAGGAGTAAGCATCCCCTGCCGACCGGTCTCATCCGCTGTGTGGTCCTTGTCATGATCAGGAAATAACGGAAAAAATCTGTCGTCAATTTAGTGTATAAATAATGGACTAACAATTGGTATGAAAAACGTCAGTCAGCATTTTACTCAATGATAAATTGTATTTCCTGACAGGGTCATTGTATCGACCATAGAACTTTCGAAATGATGACTTTAAACTAGACTGCTGATATTCTTGTTTCATCAACTTGCTTGTCAATAATTTACCTCGTTTTAGAAATTGTTCATAGAGCATGCTCTTGCGTATCGAATCAACTGAGATATATATTCCGTATCCCTGCATAAGTTTTAGAAAAGAAAGTCATCACGTTTATCATATAGCTTGGTTGTTGGATTACCATTAGTGTCTTTTTCAAGTAAATTATCCAAGTATGAAGCAGAAGTGTTGGACTCTGTGGTATCTTTTATCTCAAGCTCACCAGGATATATCGTATCGACGCAGGAATGGAAATTATCATCATTAATTGACAATACGTCGTCAATATACTAGTATCTAAATGTCTAGTTGAAGGCCACAGCAAGTGTTTTCTTCTTTTCACGCACAAGGTTTTGCATAAATTCTGCTTCATATGAATATAAAAATAGGTCTGCTAATAACGGAGCGCAATTGGTACCCATGGGAATTCCAATAGTTTGTTGAATACCTGGTCATCAAAAACCACATAGATATTATCAATCAGAAACTCAAGCATCTTTTTGATGTCAACTTCAGAGTACTTATGTGTGCAATCAGAATCTGTTTTAACAAAATAATTTTGCAAATGACCAATGACGAGGTAAGTAAATTTACGAGTTCCATTTTTATTGAAGAAGCAGCTGTCAATGATATCAAAAAGCCTGGATTTTAATTTGTCGTGGGGAATTGTTGTGTATAAAGTTGAAAAGTCGTAAGTTTTTAAGCTGTTGATTTTTGTAAAGTCTTGTGATTTCAAATTGTCCAAAAGTTCTTTAGAATTCTTAAGTATCCACATCTGATTCACACCACTTCTTGAATATACAGTTGCACAGTACTCTTGAAGTTTTTCCTTCACTACTGTCAATATTTTAGTGAGGAGTAACGAAATAGGCTTGGTTGAACATTTACTGGAACCTGCAATGTATCTTTGTTTGTAAGGATTCTTATGAAGTTTCGGAATCCAATATTTATAAGGTAGTTCAAATTCATTTTGGCTCTGTGGAATATTCAAAGTATTCAAAACTGACAGGTGATTTTGAAGAATTTCTTCCATAGAAAGGGAAGTATGAGTATAAGTAGGATTACCACCTTTAGAATTAAATCCAAGTCTTCTAGAATGCAGTTTATATAATGAGCCTTACAAACGAAGACAATGTTGTTATAATGACGCACTTTTATTGTGTAAGATAATATGTGCATGTTTCGGATTAAGCAGCTTTAAGTACGCGTATGTATCGTTTTTGGAGCAAATCATATGAACATGTAAAAACTGGTAGTTTTACGCTTTTCTCTGATAAACGGAATGGAGATGACATATTTAAACTTAACCTTTGCCGTACCAGTTCACAATATATATTTTATTTACCTTTCTTGACACCGAAAGCCTCGTGTTGCAACTATTCAGAAGAGCATATTTGCTGATCGTTAAACTATACAGCTCAACGCACTTTCTAAGCTCTCTTGGCTTATTGCACAAATTAAGGTCACATTCTTTTTGTAATAAAATGAACATTATTGACCTTTTATACGAGACATAGCCCCAATAAAATATCTCTTGTTAAAGGTACATATTCTTTAAATTCATAATCTTAAAGTTTTAAAGTCGATCCTTTAAATGGGACTTCATTAATAAATGATATGATGTTACATCTGTATAATTTCACCATAGGTATTTACAAATTAAAATTTTCCAGCTTTCTTTGATACTATTTAGTTGAAAATTTTAAATTCTCATATAAAAGATAAGTATTTTTTCGAGTTATGTTGCACATTTTCCTTACGCGTCGTGGTTTTGTCGAAATGTAGCACCGAAAAATGACAATGCTGCATAAAGAAATCAATCCAAAAAACAGGATATTGATCATGTTTTAAAATTGAAAGTTGTTACCATTGAAAATAAAATTCTTTTACATTTACGGTCTGAAACTTTAGAATTTTGCGGTCGGATCCATGTATCTTTTATGATGCTAAATTCAGAAAATAAGCCTAAAAATGCCAGCTTTTTAACATGAAAAGCAGGCGAACAAATGAGAAAATATGGAACGCCGGGACTGTCTTATATGAGGATTAAACATTATATGCAGTATTTCCTTCATTATATGCGGTACTATTTTAATTATATGAAATAGTTTTTACATTATATCGTGTACAACTTCCATTATATGCAGTACTTCTCTCATTATATGATTTAGATATGTCATTATATTATGTACATATATCATTATATGAAGTGCTTTTAACATTATATGCTGTAGTTCTAACATTATATGCAGTAAACACAACAATATATTAAGTACTTCTTACATAATATACAGTATATTAATTATTATGTGTAGTATTTCTGTTATTATTATGATGCTGATCGTTAAATATTATGTCCGGTCCAGTTAGCATTCCGTGCAGTAGATTTTGCATTTCGTTATCCTTATGATGTAGACACAGCATTATGCGGTGCTTTCTTCTTTATGATGATGATCTTTCGGAAGCTATCCTTCGGAACCCCCTTGTTATTGCCTGACGTCACGGCGTCAGGCTGTATAAGGATTGATAATTGCTTGATCCGAAAGTAATAGATCATACCCAGAGAGCTAGATTTTGTGCAAGCTGATTTACATTGGAAATCTTTTACCTGCATTTTAAAAGAAACTTTTTTCAGGGAATCAATGATTTTACTGATGCAAAATAGTGCAGTATTTACTTTGTTTACTCTGTTTGCATGAAACAGATTATTCCATGTGATTTACCGTTTCAACGTGTCCGTGTATCTTTGTTTCTGCATTTCTATACTACTGGATCAGTTCATTT